GGTTTTGAACAGCATAAGAGGAGACTATCCTTACCAGATGGAATACACAAGAATCAAATTGACTACATTTGTGGAACGATATGTGGCCAATATCAATCGAATAAAGACAGTGGTCATTGTCGGACAGACCATCAATTCCCCACATGCAAGCTCAGGCTGAAGCTGAAGAAAATTAAAATAAGGCCATGAGAGCCAAATTATGGCTTTGCGTATATCCCACCTGAATTTAAGAGACCATCTGAAGAACAGATTTGAACATTGATGATTGAAGATGAGACAATTTGTGGGATGGCATCAAGGACATCAGACATGAAGAAAACAAAAGGTCATTTAAAAGATTAGCATGAAAGAAAAGACAAAAACACGCATCAGAAGAAACTCTGAAACTTGCTTTTGAGTGTAGAAAAAATAAAGCAACTGGAAGAAATGAGGAAGTAAAAGAGCTAAATACAAAATTTCAAGGGGCTGCCCAAGAAGACAAAGTTAAGAATTATAGTGAAATGTGCAAACACTTGGAGTTAGAAAGTCAAAAGGGAAGATCATGTTCAGCATTTCTCAAGCTGTAAGTAATGAAGAAAAACTTCAAGTCTCAGGATACAATATTGAAGGATTCTATGGGAAAAATAATGAATGACTCAGAAGACAAGAAGATGGAAGGAAGACGCAGTCACTGTTCTAAAAAGAACTGGTCAATGTTCAATCATTTCAAGAGGTTAAGAAATGGTCAAAAAGAACCTATGGTATTGAAGAATAAGTCTAAGCATTACTGAAGGCATTGGTGAAAAACAAGATTCCAGGAATTGACAAAATTTTAACTGAGATGTTTCAACAAACAGTTGCAACACTAGAAGCACTCACTCATCTATGGTAAGAAACTTGAAAGACAGCTTATTAAATGGAAAAGATCCAAATCTGTGCTCTTTCCAAAGAAAGGTTTTCCAACAGAATAAGAAAATTCTTGAACATTACCATTAATATCACACACAAGTAAAATTTTGCTGAAGATTACTTAAAAATGATTGTAGCATTACATCAACAGGGAACTGCCAGAAATTCAAGCCAGATTCAGAAGAGCATTTAGAATGAGGGATATCATTGCTGATGTTAAATGGGTCTTAGCTAAAAGCAAAGAATACCAGAAAGAGGTTTATCTGCCTTTTAATGATGATGCAAAGGTATTAGACTGTGTGGATCACAAATTATGGATAACAGTATGAAAAATGAGAATTACAGAACACTTACCTTTACATAGACCAAGAGGCATCAGGGTTGTATCTTTTCACCATTGTTGTTGGTGGTGTTAAGTGTCCAGGAGTTGGTTCCAAAGCTTAGTGACGCTGTATAGAGTTTCTGAGGGACTGCTGGTGGGTTTGAATGGCTGACTTTGTGGTTCTCAGTCCAGTGCTTACCCTACAGTACCACACCAGGAGACCAATAAAGAAGGTGGACTTAAACAATATTAAGTCTCTCCTCAATGTCATCTTTTGAGAAACCGCTATTTCACCTAGTTGTTGTAAGGATAAAATTCAAGAAAGAATACCAAACTTGCTCAGTAAACGAGAGTTGAGATTAAATCTTGACTTGTGTTTTCATCTGGAAGCTCATCTGAAACCTGTCCACCATGGGTGACCCTGCTGGTATTTAAAATACCAGTGGCATAGCTTTCAGAATCACAGCAACTCACAAGCTACCACAGTAAGACAAACTGACAGACGAGTGGTGGCTTTTCACCATACTTTTATTAATCTTTAAAAAAAACAAACTGAGAAATTAGACTACATGAAGAACACAAAACTCAGGAATAAAGGAAGATTCATTAACAGTATGCAACTCACACAACCTTGCCTGTGAAAATGAAGAGGATTTTAAGTACTTACAGATTAAGATCAAAGACTACAGTCTTTATTATGGATTATTTCTTTATGTAAAGAAAACAGAAATCTCACAACTGGGTCAAGAAGCAACATCATGATAAACAGAGAAAAGATTGCAGTTACAAGGATTTAATTTTATTTGGATCCACAATCCATACCTATAGAAGCAGCAGTTAAGAGATCAAATGTAACATCGCAAGAGGTAAATATGCTGCAAAAGTTCTCTTACAAAGTTTTAAAAGCATGTCACTTTAAGGACATGCTTGCCAGACGCAAGCCATAGTATTTTCAATTGCTTCATAAACATGCAAATGCTGGATAATGAATAAGGAAGACGAAAGATTTGATGCCTTTGAATTATGGTGTGGGAAAAGAATATTAAATATACCATGGACTGTCAGAAGAAGGAATAGTATAGCCAGAATGCTTCTTAGAATGGTGACACTTCATCTCAGATACTTTGGACATGTTATCAGGAAGCACCAGTCCCTTGAGAAGGACATCTACTTGGTAGGGGTCAGTGAAAAAAAGAGGAAGACTCTCAAGGAGATAGATTAAGACATTGACTGCAAAAATGGATTCAAACATAAGAATGAGTGTGAGGATTGCTCAGGATGTGGTAGTGTCTTATTCTGCTATACACAGGCCTGCTGTGAGTTGGAACCCAGTCGATAGTACCTAACAACTGCCCTGGACTGCATGGTTGCTCTGAACCGCAAATTCTGTGGTTCAAGCTCACCAAACGCTCCTCAGAAACCCTATACAGGGTCACTATGAATCGGTACCAATTCAATGGCAGTTAACAACAACAAGGAGTCCTAGTATGGCCTTGTAGGATAAGCATTGGACTGCAAGGTTGGTTTGATCTGCAAGGTCAGCAGTTCAAACCCACCAGCATTCCTTGGAAACTCTGCACAGGGTCATTATAAGTTGTAACCTACTCGACAGCACTTAACAAAAACACAATGGTAGAGGAACTTCATGAGTAAAGGGAATGACTAAGAAGCCTGCCTGGTATATAAAAATTTGGCAGTTCAAGTTCGCTGAGAGGCACTTGGAAAGAAAAGTCTGGGGATCTACTTTTGAATATTAGGGAAAATACAAATCTAAGTAAGAGGTTTTAATTCTCCCAGTTGAAAATATGGGGAAGCAGCTTCTCCTCCTCCCATGTTTTCAGGATATACTGTAGAATAATTGTAATTGTAAATTCTTTGTCTCTTTGAATAGTATGTAAATCTAAGATGCCTCTTCAAGGATCTGGCAGTAGCATCTTTGAATTGTAACTGTGGGTGATCCTCCCCACTTCTTGGAAGATTATATTTGCCCCAGGTGGTCCAGCCCCCAATTGTAAAGCTATCTCCCTCCCATAAAGTACTGGAAAATTAACAAAATTATCTTGAAATCCTGCATGAGATGGACTGTATTGTCTAGTGGTATAAAGGTTAAGATTCTTTTCTGCTTTTGCAATCTCTTTAGTGGATTGCATGTGATGCATCACATTCTTATTTAATACTAATTCAAGAGTAAAACTTTTTCTTCTAGTTTTGTAGAAAGGTTTTTAGGGTTGGGAGTTTCAATTTTTCAGTAACCTTTATTCAACACGAAAAGTCAGCAACTGAAAACGATGGAGCATTTTTCTGTTCTGACACACTTGTGGTCCTGTCAACAGTTGGTGTGGACTCCACTGGGACTGGTTTGTTGTTGTTTTTAATCGTTGAGCTAATTTCTGGGTCCAATTTGAATGTCTATTGTTAAGTACTGTTGAATAGGTTTTGACTCATAGCGACTCATAGTGTTCCTAGAAATGGCTGAATTTGAACCGCTGACCTTGCATTTCAAACGGACCTTGGGGTCCAGCGCATTAATTTCAATATTTGTTGTTGTTAAGTGCCCTGGAATTGCTTCCCATTACCATCATCAGTTCGTTAGCGATCCTATGGATAGTGTTTCTTTTACAAGGATAACTACTAAACGAGTTCTGTACAAATTATTTTCAATATTCCATTCCTCCAGAATCTAACTCATGACCTAGTTACTCTACTCTGTCTCTGCCCAACGGGTGATACAGCACACATTTCAAAAAAAGCTTCAGAAAGGCTGTTTGCAAGTTTTCCTTTCGATAGCTGTCCTGGAGGAGTTGGAGGACTAGCGAAGTTAGTTTCGATTCGGCAGGGCAGAAATCCCACGTTGCGGGGAGAAGCCAGGTGACCTAAGCATTTCAATCCTTAAACGGGATAAAAAGACGACAGTGGTGAATGCAAGCAGAAATGAATGCCCAAGTGAGGGCATAAAGGTTTTAAAGTGGTGTCCTCTACATCAAGACCGGAAGTGTTTCTGAAATGCAATCTTTTTAAGCATACTAGTGTGCCCCAAACAGCTCCTATTCCGCCACAGTCCAGCTACAGCGGTGCAGCACAGACCACGAGCTGAGGTAGGTGAAGCGGCCTGCAGGAGTCAAGCGGGTTGCTGCCAAGGCTAACACGAATGAGCCGGCCATTAGCTTCAGCAATCTCCCGCCTGAGAACCTCTGCGCGCGCCCGCCTCTTGGCCCCCGAGGGCGCCGCAAGCTCAGCGGGCCACGCCCGTGACGTACACCGAGCGGCGGGCGGGCCAAGCGCTCAAGTGAATGGGGCGCAGTGACGAGCCTCACATTCCAGTGAGCCCACGTGACTAGGCCGCGCTGCCCGAGGTAAACAAGCCACGGCCCCGCCCCCCGTCCTCCTCCGCTCTCCCTGCACTGTTTCTCGCCAGCGGGACTCGCTCCAGCTGGGCGGGCGGCTTCCTCCGACAGTCCCCAGCGCTCGCCGCAGGTCGGAGCAAGCGGAGCGGGCACGGCGGTCCGGTTCTGCGGGTCGAGTGCGCTGGCCAGGGTCGAGCGTCCGTCTCCTCCCCACCCCCACCACTCTCTGTGGCGCAGCAGGAATTTGGCGGGGACCTGGGCGCTATTTGCAGTTCTTGACGCTGAAGAGGAGGCTTCAGGTGGCCCTTCGGTCATTCCTATTCTAAGGGCACTGGGTCATCGTTCTCGGCCGGCTTTGGCCGGCCCCCTCCCCCGAGCCCGGAGGGTGTGTCCCCCGTACCAGGGTTCGCCGCGCCTATAAGGGGGCTCGAGCGGCGAGTAGGGACATGCAGCTCTACAGCAGCGTCTGCACCCATTACCCAGCTGGGGCGCCGGGTCCCACGGCCTCTGCCCCCGCTGCGCCCGCCACAACTGCCGCCCCTTTCAAGGTTTCCTTACAGTCCCCGGGACCCGCCAGCGGTTCGTCGGAGCCCGAGACTGGTGAGTGCCAGCCCACCGCGGCCGCCGAGACTAGGGAAGCCGCTGTTGCCGCCAAGATGCCCGCCTTCTCCTCCTGCTTCGAGATGGTGTCCGGGGCCTCCGCCCCCGTCTCAGCTGCCGCCTCCAGCCCGGCCGGCGGGTCCTGCAAGCCACCGCTGCCGCCGCACTACACGTCCACTGCGCAGATCACTGTACGGGCCCTCGGCGCTGAGCGCCTGCTCCTCCGCGGACCCGAGCCCGGTTCCCCGGCGCCCGCCGCCGCCCCGCGCAGCCGCTGCCTCCTGCTGGCGCCTTCAACCGGGGCGCCTGTGCCGCCGCGGCGGGGTTCCTCCGCCTGGCTCTTGGAGGAGTTGCTGAGGCCCGACGGTCCCGAGCCTGCGGGCCTGGACGCGGCCCGGGGCGGGCCGGAGAGGAACTTCCGACTGAGCGAGCACCGTCAGGCCCTGGCCACCGCCAAGCTCCGAGGCCCCGGGCCGGCCCCCGCAAGCCCTGAGCCCAGCCCGGGCTCGTGGAGCGAGGATTCGCCGGTGGAGAGGAGCCCGCGGGGCTGGGAGCGGCGTGGAGAGCTGGCCGCCGTGGACGAGGCGCGGCAGGCCGAGGCCGAGGAGCCCCCATCCAGGAGCGGCGAGGTGGCCCCGAGCTGCGCGGCGGAGGCGGGGGTCGTCTCTAGGTCGGATCCCAGAGACGAGAAACTGGCCCTGTACCTGGCGGAGGTGGAGAAGCAGGACAAGTACCTGCGCCAGAGGAATAAGTACCGATTCCACATCATTCCCGACGGCAATTGCCTCTACCGAGCCATCAGCAAGACGGTGTACGGAGACCAGAGTCTGCACCGAGAGCTGCGGGAGCAGACGGTGCACTACATCGCCGACCACCTCGACCACTTCAGCCCACTGATAGAGGGTGATGTGGGGGAGTTTATCATCGCTGCTGCTCAGGACGGGGCGTGGGCCGGATACCCGGAATTGCTGGCGATGGGGCAGATGCTGAATGTGAACATCCACTTAACTACTGGAGGGAGGTTTGAGAGCCCCACCGTGTCGACCATGATCCACTATCTGGGCCCTGAGGATTCCCTGAGGCCTAGCATTTGGCTCAGTTGGCTTAGTAATGGACACTACGATGCGGTGTTTGATCACAACTACCCGAACCCGGAGTACGACAACTGGTGCAAACAAACTCAAGTGCAAAGAAAGCGTGATGAAGAGCTTGCCAAATCCATGGCAATATCACTATCCAAAATGTATATTGAACAAAACGCATGCTCTTGAAATGTCTGAAAACCAACACCCTGGGAAAACTGCATAAATAACTTGTGTTTGGAGAATTACACGAACTCAAATCAGGGTAATAGCACCTTTAAACTTCCTAGGATTCTGTAGATGTAATGCCTTAATCTTTTCTTTTGAATGTTTTCTCCCCAGAGCAGAAGGTTGCTGGGCACCTAAATGATGTTTTTTGAGAGCTTTGGGTAATCCTACTGCTATTTATAATTTGCTGTATAAAGTTAGCACTACTTGATTTGCAAGCTAATTTCTCACTGTAAATTTGTTCATTCCGGCAATCTATTTTCTATAAAAAATGTATTTTTGCACATTTCTAAAAATTGGTGTCCCTTCACTTAGGACGTGTTCCATTTTGACAAAATGGCTTTCAGGCATAATTCCAGAGAAGTGCTTTATATGAAGTTTATTATTTTGAACAGTTTTGTGATTTAATAGTTATTTTATGTTGTTTAACTTTGATTTTACAATTTTTAGACAATTATTTCAAATGGAGATTGATGCATTCGTGTTGCTAGATTATTGACCCATTCCATTTCCATTTTGATTAAACAGAAACAGATTTGTTGTTTTGGAAATCATTATTTTTGTAGAAATGGTCAATCCTTTAATGAGAAACACATAAGGGAAGGTTGTGGGAGAATTATTATTATTTTTTTAAGGGATAGTACCAGCTCTTATCTGAGTGAAAGTCAGATTTTGCAGAAGGCAGAGTGATTATTCTGTATTCTGGTCGATGTTTATGGGGCCCTGGTGACGCAGTGGTTGATTGCTCCACCGCTAATGGAACAGTTCAAACCGTCCGGTTGTCCTGAGGAAGAATGATGTGGCAGTCTGCTTTCATAAAGATTTGCAGCCTTGGAAACACTATGGGCACTTCTCCTCTGTTCTATAGGGGAATCAGTACAAAAGAAATCGCACAGGAAAAGCCCACACAGAAAGCACCCCTAACTAATTAGGGTTGTAGTTTAAGTACCATGGAGTTGGTTCCAATTCATAGCAATCCTATATAGCATTTCTGAGGAATGGCTGATGGGTTTGAACCGCCAGCCTTGTGGTTAGCAGTCCAGTGCTTACTTATCCTCCAACGCCACAGGGTTGTCAGTTGTTCCTGTGTGCGTTTATCACAGTAGGCATTTTCCCGTGTGGGCTTTTTTCATGTGTACTTTTCCCCTAGAACCGTTCTCTAGGGTCTCTGTCTCGGCCAGGGGATTAGTTTGGTTTTGCTCCATGTTTGGAGTAGATTGTCTGGTGCTATCATGTTTTTATTTATATTTGTCATTTTGTTATTAACAAGGATTCTAACATGGTATGAAACTTGTGGCAAGGTAAGAGCCTCCTGCTATATATAATTACTTGGAGTCATCCAAGGTATTCAAAAACTAACAGCATAAATGCCTCTGACTGGCAGTTCTTTTATGTAACAGGAGAATACTGTCTTAATCTTCTCAGAAGGCAAAATAGGATTGCCATGTATTATGTTGAAATGTCTGTAACAGAGCTTGTATGGTTTGCCGGGTCAAACGATGTTACCAACCTGAAATCTATCTCATTTCCACTTTTAACTACTTTAGTCATATTTATTAAATAATGCAGTTTGTACTTTTTTATTTTGTAACGTTTTGTGATTTTTGTACAATGCTGTTTGTACAATCGAGAAATTCTCAGCTGATGAAATGAATGAATAAAATGCGTAATTTTACTTTTAAGTGCCGTTAAGTGATTTTAAAATGTAGGAACCTTTCTTGCATGCACTTTTTTTTTCTTACATAATACATGGGGTTGGGAACCCACCTGACTACACCAAACAACAAAGATGGCCCAGAATTAAGATTTTCCAAAGTCACTCATGAACAGTGTATACTCTAGGATCAGCACTGAACTGTGAATCACAAGGTTGGCAGTTCTAACCCACCAGCTGTTGGATGGAAACCCTATATTCTGTGTCAGAACTGACTTGATGGCACTTAATAACATACGGTTTCTAGGCATCAGCTGGTGGGTTTGAACCGCCGACCTTGCAGTGATGCAGTTAGTTGTTGAGTGCTGTCGACTCTGTTCCAATGCATCGCGAGCCAGTATAGGGTTTCTGAGGAGCAGCTGGTGAGCTTGAACCACCAACCTTGTAGTCAAGCGCATTAACCCACAGCGCCACACCAGGACTCTGCAGTTAGTAGTCCAGTGCTTATCCTATAGCACCACACCAATAATCATTGGTGGCGGTTGTGTGTTATACAGTCAGTTTCAACTCATAGCCACCCTGTATAGGGCTTCGGAGGTTGTAAATCTTTACAGAAGCATCATCTTTCTCTTGCCTGGTAATCAGTAATTTCAAAATGATAAGTCTAATAATGAAATAAAATTTAAAGGTGGGGTAACTCAAGAAATTGCTCTCATTATTTCTAATTATAATGCCTATCTAAAATTATAGATGCACCTATTGGGTAATGAACAGGAAAGCACAATTAATGGGGTTAACCAGCACAATGTCTAATTAAATGTCAGTTTTGTGTTTCACTTTTAGCATAGATTTAGTACTTTAAAGAGTAACTAAAAGCAATGCTTTTATCAAGTCAGGTCTCTTGGGACCATGTTGTTAAGTGCCATCAAGTTGGTTCCGACCTATAATGCCCCTGTATATGGTTTCCGTGGAGCTTGAACTGCTGATGTAGTTCAAACAGCTTTGCAGTCTAGTGCATTAACCCACAGGGCCACACCAGAAATCCCTTAGGGCCATGTTGTTGTTAAATACTGTGGAGTCAGTTCCAACTCATGGTGACCCTGTACAGGGTTTCCGAGGCAGAAAGCCTCATCTTTCTCCCACGAACGGCTGGTAGTTTCGAACTGCTGACCTTGAAGTTAGCAACTGGATTCGTAACCACTAAGCTACCTGAGCTCCTTGGGACCATAGGAAGCTATTAATTTTGAGATGTGTTAGCAGATTTAGTTGAAAAAAACAAACAAAAAAACTACTTGTATACGTGGTGTGGGTGTGTCTTGGTGTTGCAGAATAAAAACAGCTGCTTTGGAATTTTTAAAGTTGGTTGTTTAGACAAGATTGTTACAGACACACCTGAGCTTGAGTTCGCTGCTGAAATACATTTTTGGAAGAATGGTAGCTATGATTGGAGAGACATTTTTCAAAGATTTTAATGCTAACTAGTCATGAATCTTACGAACTGGGCTGTGAACCTTAAGGTCGGCAGTTCGAAACTACCAGCTGTTCCACAGGAGAAAGATGAGGCTTTCTGCTACCGTAAAGATTTACAGCCTTGGAAACCCTGTGTAGGGTCGCCATGAGTTGGAACTGGCTCCACAGCACATAACCACCACCACCACCAAGTTTTGTACTATGACTTTACTAATTTCTGGTACATTGGGGAGAAAAATACATTTATTTGAATTACATGACTATTAAATCTGGTTCTTTTCTCCACTTATTTTGAGCTCTATGCGATTTGGGAGTTGTTATGTTTACACATGAAATGAAAGAAAAAAATAGATGTATTAGGTTCAAGTTTCTCAAAAGGATTAATGATTCTGTGAGCCTGTTACATGGTTTTAAAGGGTTCTTTTGTTGTTCTGTTTCGTTTTCAAATGAGGATCCCAAGTCCTTAATTTAAAAAATGTCCGAGAAACTTCTTAAAACGTGTGGTAGAATTTTAATAATTCTAATTTTGTTTTTAATTATTAATTTTGCTGTTGAAAATAAGCAAGGGGCTTCAAAAAGTTTGTGGAAGAATTTCATCATTTTTCCTAAACTTTATGAAACTGTAGGATAAGCAGTGGACTGCTACCCCCAAGATGTGCTTTTCAAATTCACTGACTACTCCATTGGTGAAAAATTAGGCTTTTTATGGGGTAAAGAGTTATAGCCTCAGAAACTAGAAACAGGGTTGCTATGAGTTGACAGTTAGTTTGATTTTTTTTTTTAATTTCATACACAACAGAACATATACCAATTCAATGATTTCTAAATCTATAATTCATGGATTGTTCTTTGTTGTTGTTAAGTGTCACTGAGTCGGTTCTGACTCATAGCCATGGTGTATAGAGTTTCCAAGGAGCGTCTGGTGAGTTTGAATCGCCCACCTTGCAGATCAAGTCGATTTGCTTATTTTGCAGGGGCACACCATGACTCCATTGATTATATTCTTTTAATTTTGCAACCATTCTCACGCTCCTTTTCCAAGTTCTTCCTCCACTAATCTCAAGATTGGCAGTTCAAATTAACCAGCTGCTCCTTGGAAACTGTATACAAGGTTGCTAGGAGTCAGAACAGGAACCAACTCAATGGCACTTAACAACAAAGCTTCTTAATGGGACTTCTGGTTTGGCCCTGTAGGAGCAGTCACAAGGTTGGCAGTTCAAACCCACCAGCTACTCCTTGGAAACCCTATACAGGGTCGCTGTGAGTCAGAACAACAACAATCTGGTAGCGTAGTGGTCACGAATTTGGGCTGCGAACCGCAAACTCAGCAGTTGGAAACTACCAGCTGCTCCGCGGGAGAAAGATAAGGCTTTCTGCTCCCTTAAAGATTTACAGCCTTGGAAACCCTGTTCAGGGTCGCTATGGGTTGGAACAGAGTGGACGGCACTTAACAACAACAAGCTTCCTATGTAACTGCCTAATTTCTGCTGTCAATTGGATACCCAATCCACTCATGGAGTCGATTCGAATTCACAGTGTTCCCTATAGGACAGACTTGAAATGCCTCACAGGCTTTTACAGAGACCCAGACGGCCACATTTTTCTCCCAGCGAAGTGGCTGGTAGGTTCTAACCTTTTCATTATCAACTGATAATGTGTTTAACCACTGCACTACCAGGGTTCCTTTCCATATGTTGTTATGAAGCGCTGTCGCGTCAGTTCCGATCCATAGCGACCCTGTATAGGGTTTTCGAGGAGCGGCTGGTGAGCTTGAACCCTGACCTTGCAGTTCAAATGGCTTTGCAGTCTGACATATTAACCCACAGCGCCACACCAG